CATTGTAAGTAGTCGAACGACGTTTAGGGGGACCTCTCGACATGGAACAGGTAAGCATGCCCTACACGTAACATTCATTGTAAGTAGTCGAACGACGTCTAGGGGGACCTCTCGACATGGAACAGGTAAGCATGTCCTACACGTAATATACATTGTAAGTAGTCGAACGACGTTTAGGGGGACCTCTCGACATGGAACAGGTAAGCATGCCCTAGACGTAACATTCATTGTAAGTAGTCGAACGACGTTTAGGGGGACCTCTCGACATGGAACAGGTAAGCATGCCCTACACGTTTTATAGGTATAATATATGTAAATTGATAACAACTTCAGTGCTATCTGGAAGTGACGAAAATTGTTCTAAATGATCTACAAGCTATACATGGATAATGTTCCAAAAACTGTTGCTGCCATTTTACCCTCGATAACGAATCGTCTATTAATAAATTTAAACCGGAAGTAGGTGTCACAGAACAGATAATGGGTTTGTGTTATTAATAGTTCCTAAATGGTCTACGCTGTAAAATGTATGTCCCTCGTGTTTAACTGATGTTGCCATTTTACCTTCGTGGTGGTCTTTAAAATATCAACCGGAAGTGCACAAAGCCAAGAGACGCGCAGGGATGCATGATATAATTACTGGAATTTCATCCTATCTCTACAGATGTATATTTCCGGAAGTCCTTCATCATGATAGCTCGTGGTGTATTACAATAAAAGGTGATGTAGACAACGGTTTCTCCGGGGTTGAGGGAGCATTGTTTCATACTGGCTGTATGATTCTAACTGGTGGTTCTAAAGATAAATAACACGACGGCCATAATGTCGTAACCTCTCATAAATCCCTATCTGTGATGTCACTCAGCTTTCCGACGATATGAAGGAGTTTGGCAATTTGTCGAATTAAATTGAAATGTTGATGTTTGTAAGTGAGGTTAGAATAAAATGAGAGGAATTATATTCAGATTACAAAATATAAACCAGAAACAGGCCCTATCAAGGCGTTATATACATGTATATACAAGGCGAACAAACAGATGTGTAACTTGTTACTTTACATAATTTGTCAAAGCAAACCACAAATATTTAATATTTAAGCCTCACTGACAATATGATAGCAACCTCAATTGATGGTGAAGTGATGACACGCCAGCACGTGCATTGACTTATAAGTTCGCGTGATCAAGGACCAGCCTTCACAACTACTCAGTACTAATCAAAGACCCATGTTTAGATTGTGAAATGGTTATATATAGCACGGAGACTTGTACTCTTAATCAGCGACATGTTTCTGGTTTAGAAACCGCAAGTGGTATTCTAAGTAAACAGCTGTATTTTACTGTAATATATTCTGCATAACTGAACGTCCTAAGTGTGTCAGCCGGTTACTCCACCAGGACCAAGACTTGACCACACTACAAGTTGTCGACATTTTTTGATGAAAACCCTCCACCAAGTGATGCTGCTTACAAAGGGTGTTTTACTGAGAGGTGGTTATTTATAACACACTAATCTGGGGGGATTACACAATGGAACGTTACAATGGTATATTGTATCTAACAATCCCTTGAAAACATTTCGATGGACCCATTTTAGATGGATAAGCAGTTGTGTATTTTACAAAAGTTTTATGACCCATTTTTTGTCATTCGTAACTACATCTATCCATGGGTTTTCATTTTGTAACAACAGATTGTCTTTTGGTCCGTATTTTGTTACAACATATTGACTTTTGACCGGTGACCATAAATTGACTCTTGACCCGTGTTTTGTCATTTTGTAACCATAAATTGACTCTTGACCCGTGTTTTGTCATTTTGTAACCATAAATTGACTTTTGACCCGTCCTATGTATATGCAATGTTTCATTGTAAACGTAATATTTTTTACTGATTTTTTTTTGAAACCTCATTAGATATCGACAGATAAGCTACGTGTTTTTAGTCGATCATCATCAGATGGTGGGGTATTCAAATCGCCCTTCGTTCGTAGACCGTGGTCCATCCGTCATTCCGTCATTCCGTCCGTGCTTAAACATTTCTTGTAAGCGATATATCTACGGAAAGTACAGCAAGGTTTACCATGGTCACTTGGTATGCGTATCAAGTTAAGGGACTGACCGAAAAACTAAGATGGCCGTCAGGCGCCATCTTGAATTTTTAGAGTTAAAGTTTGTTAGTGCTTTTGCTCAGAAATAACTGGAGGGATCTTTGTCAAATTCTATATGTAGGTTTCCCTTGGTCCGTACTTATGCATGTTTACTTTCGAGACTGATGGAATAAACAAAATGAGTGAAGGGTGGCCATCTTGGAGTTTGACAGTTACAGTTTGTATTTGCTAATTCTCAGAAAGTATTTGATATGTAGGTTCCCATTGGTCCTTAGTTATGGATGTTTTATTTTGAGAGTGATTGTAAACTCAAAATGACCGCAGGAAGAACTTAACAGATCTTTCTGATATTGCAATGATCGGTTCTATTTCTTCCACATTAAGTTCTGTACTAGTAAATATGTGAAATGAGAAACTCACTTTGAAGGTTGTCTTTTATTTAAGCGGTATGAAGTCTAGATCAAGTTACTGTACCTCAAGGTACATTTATTGTATACATAACTTAATCATGGAAAGACAGATAAGAGAAAAGACGAGAAAAGATCAAACTGACATAGACCTAATGAAGATGGTACAATGGTGGGCGCCAAGATCCCTCTGGGATCTATTGTTTATATTTCAATATATATTTGCCATAATACCCAATGTGAGTGAATTATAGACCTACAGTGTGTTTCGCAGCTTGACCTCCGACAAGAGGTTAAGATGATGGCGATCGGGACGTTATGGTATCGCCTCCGTAATTATACTTCGTTAGGGTTCTCTCTAAACACAAAGTCATTGATTTACACCTGTGTTATTGTTAGAACAAACAAAGGGATTGCTTTAACAGGGATTAACGCCAGATAGAGTACCAGGGTCGACACTTCGGTTAGGGATAGATCGATATCTGATAATACCACACACACTGTGACGACAAAAGTCGGCGATTGGAGGCTACAGGTGAGTGATTGCATACCTGTAATCTCATTTATCTAGGGAGGGATTGATTTGTGTAGAACAGCTCTGTAAACATCGGCCTAATATATTGCATGTATCGTACTGAAGATATGAGGGTTGTGTGCAAGAACACCTAGAGGCCCTGGGACACTACAACTATAGAGATATGTCTAATTGTGATCCAGCTTTTGATGTACGGGCGACGATTGGAAACATGTGGCGTTGATAGTGTTTGCCGCGACCTGTTTTGATTTGCATTTTAATCATTCAACAACCAAGATGACATATGGTCTTTAGATATTGCCAATAACATTTACGTTGATTTATATTCTACTTTCAACTGGCGGTTCTGCTATTCTGGAATATGCAGCACAAATTAAACTTTCCCAGATACGTGAATTGCGTCGATTGCCTTTCCCCCCAATGAAGTATGAACATATTTTATTTATTCTGATCGGATATTCGACATGATGAGAATAAGCGGACTTCGACATGTGGCGAGGGAACCATCAAGTATAAGGTAGAACCGTCTCTTGTCTAATTTCTATTAAACTGTTGTCGCATTTGAAATATGAATACCTAACATATATACAATCTCATAGTGTTAGGGCTCGAACATGGCGGGATCAAATCTTCATAATGCTTATTTCGCTGTAGGCGGGATCAAATCTTCATAATGCTTATTTCGCTTTAGCAAATTGTTGCAATTTGATAGGAGTTTGTCATTTCATTTAGGTTAGAATTCACGAAGTATGCTCCGACCATGGATATACCTAAGTACAGTACACGTGCGAAACATATCACAATGAAGCACTATAAGGAATAACAACGAAGCACTAAAAGTTGTTTAGCGGAAGAACAAACGCGGTGATATGCGGAATCGGAAAATGAGAACTTTCAAACACATCAGAACGACTTTAAGTTTCATCAGAGGGATTACTCTTGGTGGTCAACCCTTGACCATATACGTGTAAGGTCAGTGGTTAAGGATTGTATCAAACTAATATTGATCCAGTATGTCAATTAAGTACACACATTGAAACAGTCATGTAAAAGGCTTTTTCTAGCTGTCACGTGATACAGATATCGCACTGGACCACCTGGTCGTTTTTTTCTGCCAAAGTGTTCCAGCATTTGCTTTAGTAAAAACAGACGTGTAAATGATCGAAACCAAGACACACTTGGTCATGCTATTTATGTGTGTTAGGTAGAAATGTGAATAAACAGCCTGGCTGATCACAGCGGATAAAAAAGTGCAAGCGTCCTCACGTTTCCCCGCTGGGATATATTTATTGGTTTTATTGGGAAGAATCGTGTGACAGCGATCGGATCTGAAATTGATTAGTAACCAGGCATAAAGCGTATGGAGGGAAAAACAGATAAAACATACAGGTTACAAAATGTTCTATGAGAGACGTGTAACTTAACGTTAAAATACCTTTAACAGGTACTATGTATGAGTGGCATTTTTTGACCGTGAATTACCACCAGGTAACACCAGGTAACCCTCAATGTTATTGTGCACTCGCCGATTAACCCTCTCTCTGCCTTTCGCTATCTCCCCTAGGAGTCGAGTGTAATTTCCGAATGGTTCAAATACTGGTGATTGATAGCAAGGAATCGGATATTTTTTCTAAACTTGCACAAAGTATGATAACAGATACAGGACCGGATATCAGGGGAGATGGCGGGAAAATATATTCCAGTGATAAGTACGTGGTCATGTTTGTCTGCGGATACGTTAACCATATTGAAATATCTTCTGTTTAATTTTGTTTTATAAACAAAATTATTCAGCACCATGAAACGGAAAGTATTCCTCAAAAGCCCATTTATAGCACACTATTTGATTGGTCTAAGTGAAGCTCAGTCTGATCAACCCCAGAAGCCCATTTATAACACCCCATTTGATTGGTTTAAGTGAAGCTCAGTCCGATCGCCCCCGAATTCCCATTTACAACACTCCATTTGATTAGTCTACGTCAATATGATGCACTGCAGTGGTTTATAACCGCGTAAAGTATTCGTTACTTTTTAAAGACCTGGTTGTGCACCAATTAGTGTAGAGAAATTGCTCTTTTCGCCATGTCTATTCTTGAATTACAGAGATTAAAATAAAATCCATGGATATGAAGAGGGATTTTATGACATTTTATGGTGACGTATGCTCTTATTCACAGCTTGCAATAAGTAACGGTAGAGCTGTCGTTAATTAAGCCGTCTAGATCCAGTCCTTCAATCCTAATTAATTTATAACACATTAAAATCACATGGTTTAGCAGGTGGCGTTTGGTGGAAGATAAATCTATTTCTATTTTTTGTTTTGGTATTTCACGTGCTCTTGCTGCTGACACTGGCAGGTTTGGGTAGATACTTGACCTGCTGTATTCAGCTACATGTTGTCGTAAGACGCTATTCAGGTTGAGCCCCTGGAGAATAGGAGGGTTGGGGTTAAGATGGTCGGAGTAGGTGTCTTTTGTCTTTTGCTAAAGGGCATTGAAGAAACCGTAGTTAATCTGCTGCCCTTTTGAAATACTCGGGATATTTTCCAACCTATTTACTCATTCTTGCCGGCGGTGTTTCCTTAGTAAGCCGTCCTCATACGACCGTGGGCGTTTCGGAAGTTGCAAAATTCCATATGAACCAACAAAAAAGCCTTTTAGTGTACATTCAGTGTTATTGACACGGATGTTTAATTCTAATGCATTACAACGGGTAAATGGCATATATATTATGTTTTGATATGATTAAATACATAAAGCAATTTCATTGTATTTTCATTCGTACTAAATGCTATCCCGCCGGGATGTAAGCTAATTAGTGACAAATGGTCTCATGTGTGGTAAAGGACGTTCCTACATTCAAATCAATGGTTCTTATATTTAACTTGCCTGAATGCGTGAAGTTTAGTTATGTTTGTGACAGCGTATTTTTTTTTTACAGTATTACCAACTTAAAAGAGACTTCATATTGCGTAGCACACCACACCAACATACCATGTCTCCTGCATGCACACACGCAAGCAAGCATACACTACACACATGGAGACACGTCCTTAAATGGCCTTAGCTGTTAATAGGACGTTAAACCAAACCAAACCAAACTTCACTTAAGCAGTAAAACTGGTATCAGATTATGTGTGAAATATATCAATCCAATGGTGACGTAATGTGAACTGTTGCTTTATAATTTGCACGCCCGAGTAGAATCATACTTAAAAGTTACAATGGATGATTTCCAAAGTTCCAAAGCATTATGGGAAATTTTGTTCCAAAATAAAACTGAAATACTGACATGATGATCATATGATTAAGTGTGAAATGAAAATGGCATCATGCTATTATTTGTTGTCGACGTTGAACACCTTTAATACATATAAAATTCATAAAAAAAATCGTGATAAGTAATTTTGAGCAGCGTCCACATGAAACGTCACAATGGATAATTAAGAGATGTGAATTCAAAACAAAGGAGTTTTCGACATCGCCAATAGAACATAATTTCACTCAATTATAAAGATTATGAATCCTCCTCCCGCTGTGTTAATGCTAATGTTATTATATTTATGTGTTGCAGATGATTGATGTCGCAGGGTAAATTTGACGTGATGATTCCTTGACTGGACGATACCATGGCAAACAGTTCGGGGCTGTTTGGGGACAGGATAGAGGTCGGAGGCGTCACCATGCTGCCCTTTCCCACCATCTCTGACGTCATAAACACACAAAATCTTACAAATATAACGGAATCAACAAACGTCACAAGGGCGCGGAAGACTTTCTCCTTCGTGGAACAGGTTCTATTTGGCACGTGGCTGTCAATATCTATGATTTTAGCCATATTTGGAAACCTTATGGTAATCGCGGTGGTTGTGAGACATCGAGGCATGCGCACTAGGACCAATATGTTCCTCGTCAGCTTAGCAGTGGCGGATTTTCTAATCGGAATATTGCTAGCGCCATTCTCATTGGCTACTTTGATAGCCCAAGACTGGGTGTTAGGTCCAGTTTTATGTACAATCAACAGTTTTTTAAATGCTGCATGTTTCATTACGTCAATACATACTCTTATGCATATTAGTATTCATAAATACCTGTCAATCACGCGTCCATTGACACGGATTACGAAGTGTAAAATTCTCGTAATGATATCGGCCGCCTGGGGTTGGGGTTTGACCTGTGCAGCTCTGACCACGGTCATTCTGTCTCATGCCGAGTTCAAGGAGGGCACCATGCAATGTGGCCCCGCCTACCCTGTGATAACGACGAAATCTCTGTTGTTCCATATTATCATACAGACGTCGAATATATTTCTACCACTCTTCATCATGATATTTGCATACTCTCGTATGTTCGGTGAGATACGGGAACACATGCAGAGAATGGACGAGAACACTGCCATGGATCGAGCCCAGATCTACAATCAGCAGCGCCGGGTGACAATCACCCTGTTTATCGTGCTCGCCTGCTTCGTTTTGTGCTGGATACCCTACTGTGTTTATGCTAATTATGTGACCTTTGAACCAGACAAAACAAAGTTCCCGCCATATTTAAATGCTATCGTAAGTATACTTATAGTTTAAACTAACTACATTATTTCTGAATATATTCCGACATATTTTACTCTCCTGTTCGATTAATTTTGTTGTGTTTTTTCCCTGTCACATTTTGTTGCATTCATTGATTGGGATAATAAATGACCCACGTTATACACAGCCCTTACGTTAACTATGTCTAACATATACACAGCCCTCAAGTTAACTATGTCTAACATATACACAGCCTCAAGTTAACTATGTCTAACATATACACAGCCCTCAAATTAACTTTGTCTAACATATATACAGCCCTCAAATTAACTTTGTCTAACATATACACAGCCCTCAAGTTAACTATGTCTAACATATACACAGCCCTCAAGTTAACTATGTCTAACATACACACAGCCCTCAAATTAACTATGTCTAACATATACACAGCCCTCAAATTAACTTTGTCTAATATATACACAGCCCTCAAGTTAACTATGTCTAACATATACACAGCCCTCAAGTTAACTATGGTTAACATATACACAGCCCTCAAGTTAACTTTGTCTAACTGTGACTTTTATGATGTTGTCTAAACTTGACTTGTCTAAAACATGATGTACTAGAGACTAATTACGTTAAGGCGGTAAATCGTTGTCAAAGTTTGCCCAAACGACTCTGAGTTAAAATGCTGTCATTTAATGTTGTAACCACATACAAACAGATGTAGCGGAACATCATTCAAATTCCAAAATTTCTGTTGTTAGATGAATCTAAAACGCGCATATGATGCATCGACTGTGAAAATCTTATTAAAGAGCTGCCTGTCTATAGCGACCATTTAATAGAAGGAGCAACACTCAAATAAAACTTGGGTCTTCTTGAGCAGGTTATTAGTGCCCGGAAAGAAGCGATTTGGGTAGTATTTACCACGTGGTTGTAAGGACAGCGATTTGGGTAGTATTTACCAGGTGGTTGTAAGGACGTGGTCAGCTTGTTGTTGTGATTGACAGGTAGCAGCTTTAGACGTTTGGTAGATACAGATAGGTGGTCGTAATATTGGGGTAGTAGTTATATACAGAGTTTGGTAGATACAGATAGGTGGTCGTAATATAGGGGTAGTAGTTATATACATAGTTTGGTAGATACAGATAGGTGGTCGTAATATAGGGGTAGTAGTTATATATACAGAGTTTGGTAGATACAGACAGGTGGTCGTAATATAGGGGTAGTAGTTATATACAGAGTTTGGTAGATACAGATAGGTGGTCGTAATATAGGGGTAGTAGTTATATA